ACTATAAGCACTTCAGAAAGGCTATCGCTTTTCCTTTTCGGAAGTTAGAGCTATGTCGACACTGCCGTTTCAGGGCAGGGTCATTTTCAGGACTTTCGCCCCGGATTCAGGTTTTCGCACATATTCCATGTTGACCGCCATGGTCATTTTACCCTAAAATAGTTGAGATTACCTGTCCTAAATGAATCGCATACAAACTCATATACAGGTCCTAGACTATACGTAAAACAGGATATTTCGACCAACTTAAAAGGACTAAATTAACATTAAATATAGTTGAAGATGAAAACGGCATGCTTAGGTACATAGGAAGACATGAAAATTCAGATTTAAACGAATATACTCGTAGACGATTCATTGTTCCAAGGCAACATATAGCTTTATATACTAATTTAGGTATTGATGTTTGTCATACAAGAGTTCACCATGGAGGACTCAAGATGGTCCTAAGCAGAATTACGTTGAATGTATTGGGTTTCAAAGATAGGACAAATATTAATTGTCAAGAAATTTATCCATAAGTGAGTAACATATAAGAAGATGGATGGCAAGTCGTATAGTGCCCCACCTATATGGCTGTAAAGAGTTTCATGTTCGTGAAAGCTTTCGATTTTCAAACGTAGGGGTAGAACCGGTAGATATTGCCGGACTACTACAAGGGTAAAAGAGGTGAAATGACGAAAACGATTTATATTGCTTTATTTTCTTGTTGCGTGACACGTGTTGTTTCAGATAATTATTTCAGATAATGTCAAGATATTTCGAGTCACACAAAGTCACAAACAGCACTAAAACGATTATTTCATGACCCCAAGTCGAGGTCAAAAGCGAACTAAAACATAATAAAATAGAATGGCACTTCAACTGACATTTTACGAATTACTAACCATTGTGATGGAGATAGAAGGCACTTTAAACTCACGGTCATTAATTTAACATATACGTATGACGAATTAGAAGTTTTGACTCCTTTAATTTTATTAATTCAATTTAATTTATTAGAGACGTACGTATAAGTCTTTTGCCAGATGAGAACGTGGAGAAAGCAGAGAAAAATGAACCTGAGAACCTGTAGCAAGAGATTTAGACATGCGGCACTTAGATTAATACACTTTTGCCATGTGCAGGAGAAAAGAATACTTCACAAATCTCATAGAATTTGATAAAGCAAAGGTAAGTGAGAACAGTAAGCCAATTGAAGTATATATATTACTGTCGTTTATGCAGAGACTGAAAAAAGAGCACTTTGGAAAACAGCAGTTGTTGAAAGGTTATAATTAAAGGTGGAGACGAAATAGTTAGAGGTGCAGCAGCAGGGCAGGCGCTAGACCTCCTTCAAGGAGGGGGGAGGGGGGGTATGAAGTATAGTTTTGCCGAGTCATTAGTTTGGTCTGTATTAGCCTATGTACATTTACTAAACGTTGATTATTAACTTTTATTAACCGAACGTGAGGTCTGTACGGAAAAATATCGGACCGAGGTCTTTTTTGTACAGACCGAGCCCGTAGGGCGAGGTTTGTACAAAACGACGGAGGTTCGATGTTTCTCTGTATGGACCGAGCAAGCGAGGCTAATAAAAAGTTTATTATATGACATTTATAGGCATTTATACTCGAAACAAACAAGAAATACATGATTTGAAATGCATATTATTAGCGTGTAAGCGTGGTACACATTTGGTGGAAGAAAACAAAAAATGCCATTGTATTCCTTCTTTTCCACTAAAAACCATTCTTATTAACAACAAATTAAATTATAATTTTCAAATTTTCAATTAGTTTTGCTGGGTTTTTTCCAAAATGCATGCGTTTGTTTTTACGTAATGAAAATAATGGACCGCTGAAAGTGCTTCTGCCAACCATGCACCGCGCCATTTCACCGGAAGTGATGCTTGCCATATTATAACATTCTTTCATAATAAAAACTGTCAGATCTGTCGATTATACGGGACTGTTTCTAACTACACAGCAAGGCGCTGTAATACACCGGCGGGGAAACGCGCTAATAAATGATCGTGCTACGTGTGATGCACATTAGGATTGGCGCGAGCGCGCTTTCTTTAAAAAAATCAGTTGAAATCGCGTACAAGATGGCAACAAAAAACCCGAGAAAACAAAGGATTTAAATGCTAAGTAATTATGTAAATTCGTTAATTAAAATTTGAAATATTAGTTAATAAGTTATATCACATGTAATAGTTTGTGTTGTTTGTTACTGAACACTCGTTGAAAGAAAATTTCAGGGCAAAAATTTTACT